ATACTATACCCACGTCTCTTGCCTATCCATATGAGAACTGAACCTGTGTGGCCTAAGAGTAAGGTTTAAGCCAATTTCTATTTCCTGGGAGAAAACCTCTCAGGTGGCGTAGTCGGATTTGCTTTGTGGATAAATTGTTAATCCCTACTCTTCCCTCCTGCCACATTCGCATTGCCAAACAGCATTTCCCGTTGTTTACATCCTTGTTTATGTCCTCGCTACAACATACCGTTAGCGCTAGAAACTGTGTCTGATGTACTGGAGAAGATTGAAACTGCTGTACTAGAGACAACTGAATCGGTGGACATGGCTGGATAAGGCTGAGGAGCTGCAGGCAAGATTACAGGGCAGGCAATCCTGATCACTGACATGGAGGAATCTTTAGAAACAAAAACACACAAACAGCAAACAACAATGAATATATTTATATATCTTCTATATTTCTGTCACATATGCATCTGTTTCATTTTAGTCTGAAAAGTGCTTTGAGATGCAACTTTAAAGATGCTACAGAAGATTATTGTCATTAGTTTGTTTGTTAAATAATAATAAATAAAACAATTTTAAAAATTCCTGTCTTAAGTGTTAGGTGTTACATAAAGAGTTGGACTATTGGAACATCTGAAGGAAGCCATTTGTATTTTCTAGACATAAATACTATTTAAAGCTAAAATCAGCAGATGTGCTCACTAACTAGTGAAGGTAAACCAGTCACTACAGTCAGACGTGCTTCAGACTATTAAACACACCAGATCAACACATACATATTGTGTTTATCCTCTATACAGGCTACAGCGCTGTAAACTCACTGTTCGGTTCTGTGAGAGTTTGTCTTCAGCTCTACAATCCTCAAACTGTGTCCTGAGAGAGCTGGCCCTGATTAACAATGACCTGCAGGATTCAGGAGTGAAGAAGCTCTCTGATGGACTGAAGAGTCAACACTGTAAACTGGAGACACTGAGGTCTGAGTTTAAACACCTGATTGATTGATTTTTGTTTTGTTACATCAGACAAATCACATTAACAGTGTGTTTTTTGTAATTTGTGCTCTTTCTCAGACTGATGACATGTAAACTCACTGCCGATTCTTGTAAGAGTTTGTCTTCAGCTCTACAATCCTCAAACTATGTGCTGAGAGAGCTGGACCTGAGTAACAATGACCTGCAGGATTCAGGAGTGAAGAAGCTCTCTGATGGACTGAAGAGTCAACACTGTAAACTGGAGACACTGAGGTCTGAGTTTAAACACCTGATTGATTGATTGATTGATTGATTGATTGATTTTTTGCTTTGTTACATCAGACAGATCACATTAACAGTGTGGTTTTTAGTAATGTGTGTTCTACGTTCTCAGATTGGCCACATGTATTCTCACTGTTCAGTGTTGTGAGAGTTTGTCTTCAGCTCTACAGTCCTCAAACTGTGTCCTGAGAGAGCTGGACCTGAGTAACAATGACCTGCAGGATTCAGGAGTGAAGCTTCTCTCTGATGGACTGAAGACTGTAAACTGTAAACTGGAGACACAGAGGTAAATGATTCTCCACTCTACAATATCTACAGTCAGACAGTTTCATATTAGAGCTTTTCATGCTTGAACATGTTAACCCTGGATGATACTAAACCCCAAATAACAGGAAGTATGGTTTATCAGTAATTATGTTTCACACTGCTCATACTATACCTGTAGTTAACCCTCAGGGGTCTGAGTTGATTTTGGGACCCCTGAGATGTTTTGACATGCCCTGACATCTGTGCTTATTTCAGCTACTTTTTACACAGTACTAGCCAACATGTGTTTTATTAGTATTCAGCTCAAACTGAGCTACAATAATATGTGAGAAATATTGATGTACATTGTGCTGATTTCCCTTTGTTTAATCACCCTAATTAAACAAAGTTAAGATCAGGATCCTCCCTTAGCTATATTTCTTAGCAAGAGTTTAGTTAAAGGATCGTCTTTAAAGAATGTATTTTGCAAAAGAATAAATTAGATCATACTTTACCACACAGGGTAACTTTGATGGGTTCTGGAAAATGAATTCAATGTCCACTCCAGTGAAGAAAAGTAATAAAATACACTTTTATTAATAAAACAAAATCCAGTGAAAAAGTAGAATAAACAAAAGACAAACAGAAAACAAAATCCTTACTTTGTCTCCAGTTGGCGGACAAAGGGCAACCAACCTCAATGAACAGAAGTCAGGAAGCGCAAAGCTGAAGAGTACATGTCAGCTTTTATACTCAGTGTCTCAGTGACAGTATTCATAAATCAACCCTAAACACAGGTGCACAGGTGAATCATACATTCAAGAAGCATGCTAAATCACTTGAACAGTAAAAAGACAGATATATAGTCATCAAGAGTACATTGTATCATATAAATCAACATTTAGGCATTTTAATATAAGCCTTGATTTATAATGTGCTATATAGTTATGCACTTAAATTCAGGTGCGTGAACTCGGTAGAAAGTTCAGCAAAAGTACAAGTTGGTAGTTCATTCAGAGTTCGACTACTAGCAAGAGGGTCATCTGAAGTAGCAAGGGGTTCACAGAGAGTTCGTCCAGCTGATTTGTTGGCTCGGCGCGCCCTCTGTCGGAGTCGCCTTTCCTTTCTCTTACGTTTCATTTCATCGTTAAGAGTTGTACTTTTACGCATAGGAATATCAGAATACATCAGTGATTTTTTGTGTCTCACATGATTAATGTCATCTGACCCATCAACCATCACACCGTTTATGAAGGCTCGTATGTGTTTGTTATCATGATCCACAGTGTTTGTTGCATGTTTTTCCCTAAGATCCTGTCAGGGCCAATACAGCAAAGCTGTGTGTGCAGCAAGCATTTTTGACGGAAGAGCAGTACGAGAATTGGAGAATGGCGGACATTGTCTTTTATCAGGAGTTTGTTCACATTTAGACACATCGCCGTGCTGTTGTGTTCGCCTAAATCCTCTAGATTACCAACAGGGCTAATGGTTGAAATAGACAGGGCAAGAGGCCTGCTGCACTGAGCCTGCATTCAGACCTATGGTTCAGACAAGGGGATTAAGGGAAAAGTCTTCAATTATAGAGTTTATATGAACATGATTATCTTTATAATGATATAAATTGTGGTTTTGTGTATATGAAATTACGAATAACAAATGTAGCCGGGCATTACATTACTGTTTATTTCTTTGCATTTTAACTTTATAAACTATAAAATCACGCGTTTCATTCTGTGAGCTAAATGACAACAGTTGTTCACTGCCCTCCTTCTCCCCTGCTGGACACGCCCACTCCTGCCCTTTGCTTGCGGAGCAAAATCAGGAATCGAATGGAAGCCTGGCTCAATAACCCACACAATTCAAAAGAATGGAACCAGTTGTGACTGTTTGTGATTGTGAGGTATAACCAATAAAGAGAAAATGATCACAATGAAGGCTGATAAAATTAATGAATGTAAAAATGATTGAGAAATAAAATCGACACATGGAAGTGTGAAAACATTACACAGAGTTGTGCAGTTCCCAGAAGTTCCTGATGCCTTTCACACAAATTCTTTCAAAACAGCCACATCAACACTACAAGAAGAAATGGCTGCATTATTGCTTTTTGCCTCAGCTGATGTGATGGAACTATTTATACATTATACATTTAACAAAACATATTGTTTTACAAAATTATCTTAGATATAATTAAGTCATTCCTGGCGTTCTGTAATATTTCAGTCCCCCATATTTTTTTATAGTGGTTGTCGACTTAAATTACATGTTAAAAGCATTTTTCATTGATCTACTTTGTACATTATAATGAATATAAAAATACATTAAATGCAGCTTTAGCATAAAAAATATAATATGTCTGTCACAAACCAAGCTATTTGTCATGCCCCCGAGGCACTTCTTTGAAATTGCATGTAGACACAGTGTTTAATTTTTTTTTTAGTATTACAACTATTTATTTGTGTTATTTACTTGTGATAAATAAAAAATAAGATTTTTTAATAAAAAACAGGCTACAAAGTTATGTCCCTCAATATAAACTCAACCCTGTCACACCAGCAATTCTCCACCTACAGCAATTCAGAGTCTACTCTTATATGACATCCAGACGGAAAGTGACATCATTCAGCTCTCTTTCTCAGGATGGTGCAAAAGAAGCTATATTTTTATTTATTTACATTTTTTGATTTTATTATAGTTAGGAAGGATGCGGTCAAGCTTAACAATTCAACCCCGTAACGTAAAACTAAGATGGAATATGATTGTTTTTTTTTATTTCCAAACAATATAACATATTCTTGTTTAATTGCTGCCATGTGGGCATTCTCTTTTAAACCACACAAGGAGCAGAGGACATTCTACTTTAAAAACTCAACCCCATCACACATGTCATTGCTTTGGGTATATTCACTTAATTAATCAAGAATATTCATTAAAAAACATTTTTAAAAAAAATTGTTACTGATAGAATATTTGAAGCTGTGCTTTACTTAAACTTTGACACTATTTAATGTCAGACACGGCACCCGTACCAGCAGCAGATTTTATATTGAGTGTCACGAGTTTCATCATGAGTTTATGTAAAGCTAATAAAATCAGAACAAAAAAATACTTAAATTATGTATTAGTTCATTTGTTTATCTCTATGTCATGTGACAATTACCCAACTTTAGAGAGGGGGTCATTGAGGGCATAACTCATATTAATATTATAGATACAGAGGGTTAGGCTAACAAAAGGTTTTGGAATCCCTGATTGAATCCCCTCCTGCTGCCCATCCACCTCAGGGTTGGAAGTTTTGTGTGTTCAGAGATGCTCCTCTGCAGTCCTCGGTTGTAACGAGTGGTTATTTTAGTTACTGTTGCTCACTATATAATTTTCTCTCCTAGAGATTGTTGTGTGTGAAAATCCCAATAGATCAGCAGTTTCTGAAATAAGCAGACCAGCCTATCTGGCTATATAATTTTATTTTTTTTATTAATATTATTAAGTATTTTCATTAACAATTTCATTAAGAACTTTTCTGCTGCAGTTTTTATTTATGTTCCAGGAAATAAAGTTTTAGACAAGACTTTACCTGTTGCTTCTGTTTACTGTAGGTTCTGTTCAGCAATAGATTGGGTAACACAGGCCTTTATCAGCATTTTTAAAGGTTACTAACAGTCCAGTTACCTGCAGCACTTCAATTTTTTGAATTCTGACTGTGGTTTGGTTTAATGAAGTTTCATTTCATTCCGGTTTGCCTTTATCTCATTAATGCCTTTGCTAAATGTTTTACTAAAATACATTTTAAGTAAGTGTTAGATGTAATTTCAAATGAACTAAAACAAATTAAAACTGAAATTTAAGTGTCCTCTTAACCCTGCTATGGTCTTAAACCGGTCACTGTATTCTCCACCCTGTGAGATTCATATTTTTAAAGGAAAACAATTAAATATAGAAAAAAATATTGCTGAGAACCAACCAGCATGTTAAGGCCTAACATTGTAATTATGTGGGTGGGGTAAGACACCTAAATGTAAAACTTTTTAAAAAATTAAGAGACCACAGAATGGACAAGTATGTATAATTGTAACTTAAATCACATATGAATCTAAAACTCATTAAAAATGTGATATTTTAGCCATTAAACTGATTTGAGGGACATGTGAGCAACAGGGAAATGTTGGTTTTAGAGCAAAAGCTTTGTAGAATACTATTATTACCAACTCAGTTTAGTCTATTACAGGGTTGAGAATAATGGCTGCCCAATTAAGAATAAAAGAGAAAATAATATAAAGGCTTTAATGCCCGAGGTGGGAAAAACATGATGTTTTGAAAGTTTAAATTGTGCCTTATTATGTAGGCTATATTTAAAAATATAAACAGTACACTTTTAAAAATATGTTACTACAAGATATGCAAACTGCGGCACAGCACACTACAAGATACTATCAAGATTGTTGTGCCTGATGGAGCACATCACCTGACTGCAGAATAACTCTGCTTTATATTATAGGCTTGCTTACAAATATCTGACCAACTGCCAGAGCGAACAGCCTGCAGAATGAAGAGAAAAGCTGCTTGTTGAAGAGAGCACATCATGTCCAAACAAATGTCTAATATTATGATTATTATTATTATTATTACGGATCAGAGAGGTGACAAAGGCAGATTAACAGAAATAACGGACATTTCATGATACTTTAGGGGGAAAACCAGTGTGGAGAGTTTTGTATAAACCAACTTTGACAAAATGTGTTGGGGATTTACAATGGAGGATTCTGCAGGGGATTGTGGCAGTGAATGATTTCATACGTGTTGTTCACTCTAGTGTCCATGACGAGTGTCTCTTCTGTGGACATAGAGAGACTGTACACGTTTAACACAATAGTTTGATATGTTGAGCAGAGTTTTCCTGAAATGTGGAGAGAATTTGACTCAATGTAAGTTTCTTCTGGAGCTGGCTATAGTCAGAAACACAAACTGAAATAGCAGTTCATTCACTGTTTAGTTGCTCAAGCAAAACTTGCTCTACTTATCACAAGAAGAAACTAAATAGATGATGTACATCACAGGTGTCAAACTCAGTTCCAAAAGGGCCGCAGCTCTGCACAGTTTAGTTTCAACCCTAATTAAACACACCTGATCAAGCTAATTGAGTCCTTCAGGCTTGTTTGAAACCTACAGGTAAGTGTGTTGGAGCAGGGTTGGAACTAAACTGTACAGGGCTTCGGCCCTCCAGGAATTGAGTTTGACACCCCTGATGTACATGGTCAAGAGATTGAGAGTTTTAAAGCGTTCGTGAGGTCCAGAATTAAAATAGATTTAAAGTATTACAAGGCCATAAATGATGCTGAAACCTTTAAACAACAGTGCTGTTATAAGGACGCTGTCTGCAGTGTGGAGGTAGGAGAGCTGCTGTTACATCTGATGTGGAGTTACAATGTGTCAAAAAAAAATGATGTAAGAAACTATTTTTGTAGAAAAACAAATCCCACACAGACAAACATACACTCATGCACACACTCAAACACACACACACACTCTCGCACACACATGCTCTTTCACACATACACAAACAAACACTCTCTCTCTCTCTCTCTCTCTCTCTCTCTCACACACACACACTCTCACACACACACACACACACACACACACACACTGCTACTGACTGCTCCTTCTCAGTCTTCAGCACAGTTTGACTGATGATTGACACCAAACAGTAAACCCAGGATAGAGCGGCTCAGTGAATGTGGTCTGGACTGAGTGGATGAGGCTCATTGTGTCTCTATAGATGTTGTAGAAGATCAGAGTTCCTGCACTGTGATCCACAAACACTCCTATTCTCCTGCTGAGAGGCTTCACTGGGAGCTCAGTGCGTGTGTAATTGTGTCTGAATATGAAACTGGAGGAAGAACAGCACAAACTCCAGGACTGAGCATTACGTCCGAACAAACACTCAGCACCTCTTCCCTTCCTCCTGATGCTCTTATATGACACTGCTGTACACACACTACAACCATCTCCACTCCAGTCAATCTCCCAGTAACAGCGTCCACACACACTCTCTCTGCACAACACCTGAGGATAAATACCATCAAATCTGTCTGGATGATCAGGATACTGCTGATACTCTCTCACACGCTTCACCTCTCTGTTCTCCTCAGACAGAATGAGAAAAGCATATGTTGTGTTTGGATCCAGAGTGAGGAAACAGGCATCTGAACACAAGAACACACACATGTATAACCACAGCTGTGTGTGTGTGTGTGTGTGTGTGTGTGTGTGTGTGTGTGTGTGTGTGTGTGTGTGTGAGAGAGAGAGACAGAAAGACAGTGTATGTGTGTTTGTGTGTGGGAGAAAGAAAGTGTGTGTGTGTGTGTGTGTGAGAGATTGAGAGAGACAGAGTGTGTGTGTGTGTGTGTGTGTGTAGGAGAAAGAGAGAGAGTGTGTGTGTGAGAGAGAGAGTGTGTGTGTGATTGAGAGAGAGTGTGTGTTTGTGTGTGTGTATGTGTGTGTGTAGTCCTACATTTGTGCAGTCCTGCTGTAATCCTCGTGTGTCCTCCATGATCCAGACTGTAAACACACACAGATGGAGAGAATGAGCTGTTTAGTTTCCCCCTCAGCTAATAAGCTAAAGCTAGCACTGAGCTGCTCAGCTACACGCTCCAAACTCTTCAGCTCAAACACACAAAAACACTTGTTGGTTGAGCCGGGATGCACAATGAATGTAACACAGTGCGTTCTTTTCCTCTGCTGTTGGTGAAGCGAGCGCAGATACTGCTCATGTTGATGGAGACACCCTGCTGCAACATTCATTTATTACAGTGATCACACTTAGCTTTGCCATCGTTCTTCAGCACATGCAGCCTTTGAGCACATGTTGCAGTCCATCTCTAAACTATGTTCAGATTATTAAAGCTGCTCGCCAGCGCCCAAGTTCCTGACAGATTAGCAAGTGAAAAATACACATGTGTGCACAGAGAAGAGGAATCCAGATGTTGATTTTAGAACAAGAGTCTGAACATTAATCCAAGTGTCTGATTCCAGAATCTGAATCCATCTTCAATCCCCAACCCTATTCCTGACCTGATATTGTAGGATTCTTCAACAGAAATGGAGGAAGAAGTTTCTCTGCTCAGCTCAAATGCTGAAACTGTACAGTGTGTCCCGCTTAATGTCACTGTAACTGAGCCAATACACTCCAACATTTACAGAGGAGATTCATTTCACACTCAATGATTTGCTCTTCATAGACATGACTGGAATACTCTACAAGCTGTTTCTTCTGTCTGTCCTCACCCCATAACCCTCACAGAAAACTGAAGCTGATCACAAAAGAGCTTTCTAGTGTCTTTTTAAAGCCATTTAGTGTAAAAGCACAAGGCCAGTGCTGCTCCACATACTTGAGTTTGTCCAGTGTGTAGTTTGGATCCTCCAGTTGTTCAGAGAGCAGCTTGACTCCTGAATCTCCTGGATGATTGTAGCTCAGATCCAGCTCTCTCAGGTGTGAGGGGTTTGAAGTCAGAGCTGAAGACAGAAAACCACAGCCTTCCTCTGTCACCATACAGCCAGACAATCTACAAACACAGCAATAGTCCACATCACACAGGACAATCACACATCACGCCATTGCCAGCCTGCACACACACATTATCTTGTGTGTTAAATGCAAAAGTACCACAAGCCTGCGTTTGAGTAAAGATCCCGGCCCTGTTAGATCCCACCCTGTGGGCTGGCTGCCTCTTCCGTGTTAATGAATGAGACTGAAGCCCAAATAATCCAGAGTAGTCCCGAAAGATGGTTTTGGTCAATTAAAGCAATAATTATCGTGCTGATATAGGTGCAGATCTTTAATTTTGTAAAGAGTTTGTTTTTAGCAGTAATTTAATGCTGGGCATTTCATCGTGATTGACAGCTGTGATTGACAGTTTCTCAAAGCAGACTGTTCGAGCTTCCGAAGGAGACTGAAGTGTTATTATTCCATTTATGTGTTATTTTACAATGATATAACGAGTTCAGCAGTAAACTATAGTTTTTGACATACAGGATCTGGTGGAACACAGTTTATTCTGTATAAATACACTCGGGCCAGTTCCGGCTAGATTCTCGCCTGCCGAAGACTTACCTCTCGGCCCGACTCTGTCAGCTGTCTACTTTGCTGCCCGAGTCAATCGGGCCAGATGCGGTGGTCATTAGCGAGCCAGAATTGGCCTGTGAGTATGTGCATTGGGGCCCAGAGCTGGCGCAACTAAATCTTCATTTTATAAAACCTCACCTTTATGAACATCATTACAACCATTTGAGTTGATATAACAGCAAACTCAGGCTACTATGTAAACGCAAAGTGTAGGCATTGAGCTTGACCTTTGAATTAAATGCAAACAGCGCCTACACACACATATACATATATATATATATATATATATATATATATATATATATATATATATATATATACACACACACACACACACACACACACACACACACACATATATATTACACATATATATATATATATATACACACACACACACACACACACACACACACACACACATATATATTACACATATATATATATATATATATATATATATATATATATTAGTGCTGTCAATCAATTAAAAAAAAAAAACTAATTAATCGCACTTTTAAAAATGTAATCACGATTATTTTCACGATTTACATTTAAAGAACGGGAACTTGTAATTTTGGCCGTTCGATGTAAAATTTATATATATATATATAGAAGAAAGTCCAGCCCTTCTCAAGAAGTTGAGTTCCAGAGCCCAAGCTGTGCGTAGAGGTGAGCCCAACTATCTGTAGTCGGTATCGTTCCACCTCCCGCACAAGCTCCTTCCCTCCCACTGGGGCGGTTTGCTGCCGAGTGTGACGCGGCTGGGATGAGAATCAGCACCTCCAAGTCCGAGGCCATGGTGCTCCACCGGAAAAAGGTGGTTTGCCATCTCCAGGTTGGAGGAAAGTCCTTACCCCAGGTGGAGGAGTTTAAGTATCTCAGGGTTTTGTTCACGAGTGAGGGAAGGATAGAACGAGAGATTGCAAGGCAGATTGGTGCAGCGGCAGCAGTAATGCGGTCGATGTACCGGTCCGTTGTGGTGAAGAAGGAGCTGAGCCGAAAGGCAAAGCTCTCGATTTACCGGTCAATCTACGTTCCTACTCTCACCAATGGTCATGAGCTTTGGATCATGACCGAAAGAACAAGATCTCGGATACAAGCGGCCAAAATGAGTTACCTTCGAAGGATGGCAGGGCGCACTCTTATGGATAGGGTGAGGAGCTCTGACACCAGGGAGGAGTTCGGAGTAGAGTCGCTGCTCCTCCACATCGAGAGAAGTCAGCTGAGGTGGCTCGGGCATCTGTTTCGGATGCCTCCTGGACGCCAACCTAGGGAGGTGTTCCAGGCATGTCCCACCGGGAGGCGGCCTTGGGGAAGACCCAGGACACGCTAGAGGGACTATGTCTCTCGGCTGGCCTGGGAACGCCTCGGGATCCCCCCGGAGGAGCTAGAGGAAGTGTCTGGGGATAGGAAAGTCTGGGGTTCTCTGCTCCCGCGACCCGGCCCCGGAAAAGCGGCAGAAGATGAATGAATGAAATGAATATATATATATATATATAAATACAGTTGAAGTCAGAATTATTAGCGCCCCTGTTAATTTTTTTCCTTATTTCTGTTTAATGGAGGGAAGATTGTTTCAGCACATTTCTAAGCGTAATAGTTTTAAAAACCTATTTCTAATAACTGATTTATTTATTTATCTTAAATAATATTTTGCTTGATATTGTTCAAGACACTTCTACACAGCTAAAAGTGACATTTAAAGGCTTAACTAGGTTAATAAGGTGAACTAGGCAGGTAAGGGTAATTAGGCGAGTTATTGTATAATGATGGTTTGTTCTGTACACTATCGAAAAAAAATTGCTTAAAGTGGCTAATAATTTTGTCCCAAAAATAGTTAAAAAAAATTTAAACTGCTTTTATTCTAGCCGAAATAAAAGAAATAAGACCTTTTCTAGAAGAAAAAATATTATCAGACATACTGTGAAAATTTCCTTGCTCTGTCAAACATCATTTGGGAAATATTTAAAAAAGAAAAAAAAATCTAAAGGGGGCAAATAATTCTATATATATGTGTTATATACACACACACACACACAAACACATATATACACACACAAGTGGTAAAGTTTGGACATGCTCTGCTTTTTGTTCAGTTTGCAGTTTCTTGTAATAACACACATGCGCGCACACACACACACACATATATATATATATATATATATATATATATATATATATATATATATATTTATTGACCTTGTTCTCTGCAGACGAGTGGGCGCAGCCATTTGAATCTTTTTGGCACGAGACTTCCGGTCTCATTTACTTCCATTCATTTTTAGACATTAAAAACTGCTCGTTTCGCTGTTTGATGTTGCAAACTGATATTTCCTTGTTATATTATTGTACTTGGTCTGTATAATCATGCAAACATTTGTTTGTAGAGCAAGTAGTTTGACCGTTTTTTGCCATTTATTATTCCTTGTCATTTCTCCTATAGGCGACTGAAACGGAAGTTCTAAGACAATCGCGAAAACAAAATTATTAGCCCTCCTATGAAATTTGTTTTCTTTTACAAATATTTCACAAGTGCTGTTAAACAGAGCAAGAAAATTGTTTTCACGGCATTTCCTTCTGTATTTTTCTTCTGGAAAGTTTTTTTTTTTTTTTTCTTTTAGTTTGGGTGAAATAATATAATATATATTTTTTTTAAGTAAAAACTGCTAAGGTCAATATTATTAGCCCTCTTAAGTAATTATTTGTTTGATTGGCTCCAGGAAAAAAACTACTGTTGTCCTATGACTTGCCTAATTACCCTAACTTGCCTAGTTAAGGTAATTAACCTAATTAAGCCTTTAAATTGCACTTAAAGCTAAAAACTGGTGTCTTGAAAAACAAATAGTATGATAATGCATTCTGTCATCATGACAAAGACAAAAGAAATAAGTTTAGACTTGAGAAAAAGAATTGTTGAGGCTCACAAAGAAGGAGAAGGATATACATGTTTATCAAAGCGTTTTTAAGTGTCAAGAAGTGCCGTGAGAAGTATTATCAAGAAGTTTAATGAGATCCACACTGTGGAGAACATGACTGGCAGAGGTAGAAAGCGAAAGATTTCCAAAACTTTAAAAAGAAAATTAGTAAGAGAGGTTTCTAAAGACCCAAGAACAACTGCCAAGACACTAGTGAATGACTTAGCAAAGTCTGGAATTAATGTCTCAGCAAAGACAGTCAGTAGAGCCATGCACAGGAGTGAACTGAAAGGTTGTCGACAAAAAAAGACTTCACTTTTAAAAAAGAGACACCTCCAAGCTAGACTGAAGTTTGCCAGGGACAATCTAGAGAAAAATAATAAATACTGAAAACGTATCCTTTGGTCAGATGAGACAAAACTAAAGCTCTTTGGCCATAGAGATGTTTGGAGAAAGAAGGGAGAGGCATTTAATCCAAAGAACACCGTTCCCACAGTGAAACATGGCAATGGGAGTATAATGCTATGGGGATGTTTCAGGGCATTTGGAACTGGGTTGAAGGAAACATAAAAAAAGGAAGACTACCAGAAGATTTTGAAAAATAACCTTAAACAGTCTGCAAAAAAACTTGGTCTGGGGCGACGTTTTGTATTCCAGCATGATAATGATTCAAATCATACCTCACTTCTGATAAAGAACTACCTCCAACAGAACAAAGTGAAAGTCCTTGACTGGCCTGCACAAAGCCCAGACTTGAATCCAACAGAAAATCTGTGGGGTACACTGAATAATTAACGCGTTAATTATTTAAAATTAATCGCATTCGTTAACGCACTAATTTTGACAGCGCTAATATATATATATATATATATATATATATATATATATATATATATATATGTGTGTGTGTGTGTTTTTACAAGAAACTGCAAACTGAACAAAAAGCAGAGCATGTCTAAACTTTACCAGGGCACAAAAATATAAATATAATAATATAAAAATATAAAATATGAATAAATAATCCTCAAAATAAACGGATTCCTTTAACATTAAGTCATATTTGGGCATATTGGAAAAAGAGACGCTCTGAAAAGTGCAACATTTTGCAGTTTACTCAGTAATGCTTTTAAATATATTTTTATAAACCTACATTAGTATAGTTACAATTGAAATCACATCCCTGTAAGTGTTTTGTTTCGTTTTCTGCCAATCCACTGAATGGGGCTCCACATTTGGTAACCCAATATGAAACTGTATCTGTGTAGTGTAATATAATTTACCTCAGTGTCTCCAGTTTACAGTGTTGACTCTTCAGTCCATCGGAGAGAAGTTTCACTCCTGAATCCTGCAGGTCATTGGTACTCAGGTCCAGCTCTCTTAGCACACAGTTTGAGGATTGTAGAGCTGAAGACAAACTCTCACTGGACTGAACAGTGAGATTACACATGACTAGTCTGAGAAAGAAGAACACAGATTACATTAACAGTGTGAATTTAGTCATTCATCTGATGTAAAAAAACAAACTATAAGGGTTAATAATATGACAAAACTATTTGATTTGTGTTATTTAGAATGACTGATATTGTTATTTAATAAAACTGAATATTAAATGTCATCTAATATATTCTTGAATATTTTGAAATATTAAGAAAACTGCTAAATGTCAGCTTAGACATGAGGACCATGAGACTTGTTCAGAGCCTGTCAAACCTGCTGCAGGGTCCAGACACCTCCTCCGACATTATACACATTGCTTCTGTTGTTTCTGTTTTTTGGTCAGAACGACCAACACATCTGACAAAATCCTAAATATATCTTTCCAATAAACCAATCCAAAGATAAACTATAAGTTTGATCAAATAAAATATAAATAAAGATTTCAGATGTAATTAATTAAAATTATCTTTAACATAAACTGATTTCCTGAACTGTATTAGAAAAACTTTAATTTGAGAAGCAGCATTTTGCAGTTTATCCACTAATGCTCTTAAATATATCTGGACATTTCCATCTAAATCAAAACACTTTTTGTTGTTGTTGAGTGTAAAATCATTTACCTCAGTGTGTCCAGTTTACAGTGTTGACTCTTCAGTCCATCAGAGAGAAGCTTCACTCCTGAATCCTGTAGGCCATTGTTACTCAGGTCCAGCTCTCTCAGCACACAGTTTGAGGATTGTAGAGCTAAAGACAAACTCTCACAGCACTGAACAGTGAGATTACACATGACCAGTCTGAAAATAAATAAATAAAAATTAGTTTAATTTTTTAGTAATTTGTTTAATGTGATAAATAATTACAATCAATCAATCAATCAAGTGTTTGAACTCAGACCTCAGTGTCTCCAGTTTACAGTTTGGACTCTTCAGTCCATCAGAGAGAAGCTTCACTCCTGAATCCTGCAGGTCATTGTTACTCAGGTCCAGCTCTCTCAGCACACAGTTTGAGGATTGTAGAGCTGAAGTCAAACTCTCACAAGACTGAGCAGTGAGATTACAGCACTGTAGTCTGTGTAGAGGACAAAAAGTTCATTGTTTAATTTTGTGTGAGTGTGCATGTAATTATTGAAGTGCCTATGAGGAGTGATTACTTCTCTGAATGTCTTTAATGGTCATAACAACACACATAGGAGCACTGGAAAGACTGAACACAGGGCTCTGGCTTTCACTTTCTGAGTCCAAATAAAGACATGATATCGGTGATTTTGATAGAGGGAACTCTGCTTAGTGTGTAAGTGAAAAAAGTGGGCATGACCAATGGGCGGGGCTTGTTTTTCTACTGTGAGCTAATTGGATATAGTTATAGTAGGTATTTCATTCAGAAAGTTTAGGTGCGTTCGACATAAAGCACTGCTGCAGCAATCAAGGAGATTAGCCGAGTGCAGGCTGGAGAGCAGTTGAAAACCGAGCCGTCAAGCCAGACATTTAGGGGCTCAAAGTTGCTACAGTCATGATGACCAATCACATGGCCTGATTATTTATTTATTTACTTATTTACTTACAGCAATAACAACTAAATATTTACAGTACAAATTAAACAGAATACAGTCCCAACAAACTATAGTTCATTTTTAAACAAGAAGGGAATTAAGAATTAAATTTAAGTAGCCCATATAACAAACGCATGATAAAAAAAAAGAGGAAATGAAAGAGCACAAAAAAAGGAGATCAATATCCACATACAGGCCAAACACAAAACATGTATTAGTTCATTTTCTTTTTGGCTTAGTCACTTTATTAATCTGGGGTCGCACCACAGCAGAATGAACCGTCAACTAATCTAGCACGTTTTATGCAACAGATGCCCTTCCAGCTGCAACCCATCTCTGGGAGACATCCATACACACTCATTCCCTACGGACAGTTTAGCCTATCCATTCACCTGTACCGCATGTCTTTGGACTGTGGGAGAAACCGAAACACCCGGAGGAAACCCACGTGAATGCAGGTAGAACATGCAAACTCCACACAGAAATGCCAACTGACCCAGCCCGAGGCTCGAAACCAGCAACCTTCTTGCTGTAAGACAACAGTACTACCTACTGCGCCACTGCATCGCCTAAACACGAAGCAATAAGCACAAATTCTTGAAGTTGAAATATCAGTCTTTATACAACTAGATGTTAAATTGTATGTCAATACTGTTCGTTTTTTTTTTTTTTTGAATATGCTACAAAAGGGTTTACATTTATTTATATTTATCGACATAAAACTTTCCATTATATATTATTTAAAACCCAAAACAGGATGTTTTGATTAAGTCTGAAACAATAATTAAGATTATTTTGGATAATAAAATCATTTTCACAAAAGCACTTTAATCCAAAAAGATTGAACAAGAGGACATTCCTAAAATAAGTGAGGTACGCTTTAAGTAGACGTTTCCCAGAAGAAGCAGGTACATCAATGTCACTTTTAACATTTCTGCATAAACGAGTTGACAGGAAATAAAATGTTTTATAATCATATATTTTTATATTTAATAAAATATATTTTTAACTTAATTTGTTAAGAAATCTTCATAGGGGTGTCAATAAAACCTGAAACACACGTAGTTGATGTCATGCGCTGAACTCAGCCAATCGAGTAATATCAGTGTCGTCATTGCAGCTCCAGCAGTCGCTCTTCAGAAGCTGTACGGCCTGAATCAGTCACCTGATCTCAGAGCGATGTCGCGGTACTTTGATCCCACATGTGACAGTCACACGGCATCCACACAGCGTCAATCCGGACAATATTTCTACCCAGCATGTTTTAAGCCAGATTTCAATCGATCTGCGAAGCCTGCATAAAGTCAAACGCACCTAATGTTTTTCAACCCCATTCCTGTCTGTTGTCATAACTGACAGTTGGGGGGCGTGGTTAAGTATGTTAGCCACACCCAATACCTCAGACAGATGTAGTCTCACAATTTAGAACAGGGGTCTCAAACTCGCGGCCTGCGGGCCATTTGCGGCCCTCAGTGCAATATTTTGTGGCCCGCGCCGACCACTGTACACTGACAGAATCAGCGGAGCGGGGAGAGAGATCGCTCCCCGCTCCGCTGATTCTATCCGTACACAGCGGTCACTGGCATTCCCCGCCCACCGTGTAAACAAAGGGGCGAGGATGCCGGTGACGTCACCACGCACCCCGCCCTTTTGTTAGACGCTGTGACGGGCGGGAAGTGTGGAGGGGCGTTGTCGCGCGCGTTCTGATCAGCTGTGTTGTCGCGCGCGTACTCAAGAGCGGTGTTATCGCGCGCCTACTGAAGGGCGGGACCGAGGGTGTGTCGCGTCGCGGGGGCACTTTTGATCATTTTGGAAGGGCACTTTCTATGCAAAACTAAAAAGGGCATGTGCACTGCACAGGTTGAGCCCTATGTGTCCACGTGCCTGCCCTGCATCTTATATATATTATAGGTAGATACAGACTGGTACAGACAGGAGTGGGGTGGGGATGTTTTATTTATACAAATATACGCCTTTTTTTTTAGGTGAGGGAATAGAAGTTTTGAGTGAGTTCCCCCACTTTTTTCCCTAGGACTTCAATAAGTCAAAGTACAGGTCTAGACTTAATGATGATCATTTTCAAGCCATACTGAGGGTCTCAACTGCTTCCACTCTAAAGCCAAATGTGGTTCAGATTTGTGAGAAGAAGCGCTGTCAAGTCTCTGGCAGCAAGAAGTAGGCAAAAGATGCCATGTTCAGAAGAACTGTTCATAATCTTCACTCAATGTTCTATTAATGTTCAGGACACTTCATGTTCAGAAGAAATAATTCATCTGTTAATAATGACATTTGAGGACTTTTTTTGTGAAATCCCTTATGCGGCCCAGCCTCACCCAGACTTTGCCTCCTGCGGCCCCCAGGTAAATTGAGTTTGAGACCCCTGATTTAGAAGAAAGAAAATAGGAAGTGCATTTTCAGATTTTAACTTAAATTTACTAGCTCAGTTTATTTGAACATTCAACACTCTAAACTCCTGTGGCTTTATCACCTGACATGCCTGCTAACCCTCAGTATCTTACCAAGATGTCTAACTGCCTAACGGCTGATTTATACTTCTGAGTCAAACGCAAGCGTATGCTACGGCGTTGACTTGTAGCCCTACGTGCACCTCACAAAAAATGTAACTACACGTCGCAACGACGCGTAGCACAAGCTCTGGGATTTAAATGGCACAAGCCCGATGCAGTGATTGTTTACCTGTGTGGAGTCCCATGAAGGAGCTCCAGATGTAAAGTTTTGTTTTGTGTTTACCTCATAGTTAAAGTTGTTGAACGTCTGGCGGTTCCTGCCTCAAAATGAGCGAGTTTGAGCCACTTGTACATTCAGGAAGTGTTCAGGAAAAGCAAAAACACCAGCGAAGTAACTCAACACAGAGGAACATTTACATGTCTCACTGCCAACTAGCATTTCGGAAGTGTTAATGCAGACCAACAGAGACAGCGCACATTAGTATAAATGCACAGCTACGCGCGTTGCATGCGCCGTGGGTTACGCCGTTCACTTGATGCAGAAGTATAAACCAGGCTTTAAGAGTCATTACACAACATGATGCCATGACCCCAGCTATTATGGTGGCCACATCAGGGCCTCCAGCTGTTGAGGATCTATGGCCAAAAACCTCCACAAAAAGTGGGCTTCTGCAACATCTAAATCATCATGGAGGGTTTTACCAGCTCCACTAAACCTCTGTCCTCCAGCTGTTTATCCTTATCCACAGGATCTGCTCTGGTTTACTGTCCAGTAGTCCCTGCCTTGGCTTTGCCCTCCTCCCTTTCCACCTGCCTTATCCTGTACCCTGTCATGGTTTCATTAACCTGCCTCTCGCCCATCACCCTTGTCCACTGTAACACCTCCAGCTGGCTGAACTCATTCTTGTTTAGTGTATTCCTGTGAGAATCATAATCATCATTAGCATTTGCTATTTTCTGACTTCACAATATATAACAAAAAAAGCAAAAATAAGGATAATAAAAGAATCACAAGATTTGAAGAAGAATACAGGAGAGCAACTAACCAGCTTTATAGTAAACACTACTACACTAGTGGACTACTCCAATCAGAAGGCAATAGCAGTTTTAGCAGGGACACAGATGACTGTCACCTGGGGCCTCATGTACGAAGACTTTCGTGGAAATCATACTAAAAATTGCGTACGCACAAAGCTGTAAATATTCGTACGCAGAAAAAATTTCAGATGTATGAAACACTGCGTACGCTGAATCCCACGCATATTCTTTTGTACATACAAATGAACGTGAAACTGAGCGCAACATGCACGAGCACAAAACCCCTCCCTGCCTCCTCCCCATTATGAATATGCTAATGACTCTACTTTGGCAAAACCCTAGAAAAAGCAACGGCAAAATCAAGCAAAAAGAGAAACTTTGAACAGAATGTGAATTGGAGGTGCTGCTTTCGGAGGTAGACTGGAGAACATCGGTGTTATTTGCAAGTTTGTTCTCCGGAATAAACAACAAAAGAAAAAAATAGAGTGGGAGAGTTTAGCTGATGTGGTTAACACAGTTGGGTCTGAACATCGCACGGAGTGAATTAAAAAAGAAATGGTGTGATTTATAGGTGTAAAATTTTGCAGTATCTGTAACAGTCTCAGTGGCGCAGCTCGTAAGACGCATGTCATCATGTTTTGACACGTTCGAGCATGAACTCGGTTCAAATCCAGCGGCTACATATCAGATTTTGCCAACTATTTATCACGAGAAAGACAAGTAGGAATCATTAATAAGTCTGTGCATCATATTTATTGAATGGAAATGTTTCTGATTCACGCATGCAAATTCATCTTCAGATAGTGTCTTTATAGCAATGTGCGTGCAGTAGATAGCTCAGATTACATTGGGAAAACAGGCGACCGCTGCAAATTATGCTTTAATGTTTAGCTGGTCAAATGTATGGTATGGAAACCTTATATACCTGCTAGATGAACCCGTCTCATACAGCTGCCATTGCAAGGCTCAGACACTTTGTAGAGAGCAATTTAACACAACTGCCTCTAGGAGTCGCCAATGAAAATAAAACTGACACGCACAAAAAATGTGCGTACGCCAGCCAGAAAGCTGCCGTGAAGCTGCACACATTCCCACGTTCAGTTCATCGTTAGTAAATCTAAACGTGAGCGATTCTGAGCGTGAAAGCTGGCGTACGCAAAGTTTTTGTGCGTACTCAGCGTTGATACATGAGGCCCCTGATCATTATCAGCATAGAGAAGGTCAAAATAGATGGAATGGAAAAAACAACATCAGTGAGATCATTCCACTCTAACCAGAACCGACTCAATTTCCACACACACAAAACTAATACAACACATACAAATTCACAAGTCAGACATAAAATGAAACCCAATGAGCAGATCCAGACAGATTTGTGTGGAATGATTTTGGCAGTATCATAAAAAAAAATACCAAAGAACACGAATCAATGAAAATTTCAGCAGAAATTACACTTAAGAGCAATATTATAACTAGTATAAAAAGTTTTCTCATACTTGACTTTACATCTGAAACATGAAATATTCACACTAAATAAACAAAAAATAAAAGGCATTACAGCATATGCTCGTTACTTTATCATACTTTTTTGTGTGATAAAAATGTAAAAGTCATTTGTGGCAGCATTTATTTTAGGGAAACTTTTTTATTTTACCTCAGTGTCTCCAGTTTACAGTTTGGACTCTTCAGTCCATCAGAGAGAAGCTTCACTCCTGAATCCTGCAGGTCATTGGTACTCAGGTCCAGCTCTCTCAGCACACAGTTTGAGGATTTTAGAGCTGAAAACAAACTCTCACAATACTGAACAGAGAGATAACTCCACTGTAGTCTGTGTAGAGGACAAAGAGCAACAAAATCAGCAGTAAGAAATGAGCAGTGTTGAGTGTTCATGAGTTCAGTCCACAGTGATAAAAGTAACACTGGAAATAAACTAATAAGTATACATTGATCAATCAATGAATACTCACAGAGCTCTTCTGCAGTTTCTCACAGCTGGTATTAGTCTCCATCTTCCCACAGGTGATGTGTTCAATTTATTAAAGTCTAACTCATCCAGCGGCTCCTCTGACATCTCAATCATGTAGGAGATTGTTGAGCAGTGAGCAGGAGAGAGTTCCCTCTCTGAGTGTTTGTCTGATTTCACAAACTCCTGAATCTCTCTGGCCAGAGTCTGATCTTTTACCTCCAGCAGACAGAGGAACAGATTGATGGATCTTTCAGCTGAGAGATCATCATCTGTCTTGATCTTGTCTTTAATGTCCTGTGTAATTATCCTGATGCTCTCTGAGCTCTCCTCTGTGTGTGTCAGCAGATCCTGGAAGAGTCTCTGATTAGACTCCAGTGAGACGCCCAGCAGGAACCACAGGAACAGATCCAGATGACCATTACTACTCATGACAGCTTTATATATTGCTAAACTGAGCAGATGGCACAGAGAGAACTCAGAGCTCGACTGTAAAAATTGAACATCTGAATCTTCATATTCATTACCATCTGACACATCTTCATCATCTGAATATTTACTCTCATAAAGCAACATCACTGGTTCTCTTTTATCTGTTAAATAGCAGTGAAACACAAAGAAAGCAGCCAGAAACTCCTGAAAGCTGAGATGGATGAAGCTGTAGACTTTCCTCTGATGAATCACAGATTCCTCCTTGAAGATCTCAGTGCAGATCCCAGAATACACCGAGGCGTCAGTGACGTCTATGCCGCTCTCAATCAGGTCCTCCTCATAGAACATCACATTGCCCTTCATCAGCTGTCTGAAAGCCACTTCAGCAAGTTTGAGGATCACTCCTCTGTTGGACTGCAGGAGTTTCTCTTGATCTCTCTCTTCATACTTCTGCTTCCTCATGTTGATCTGAATCAGCAGGAAGTGGATGTACATCTCAGTCAGAGTTTGAGGGATTTCTGCACTCACATCTTCTTCCAGGAGCTTCTGAAGCACAGTGGAGGAGATCCAGCAGAAGACGGGTATGTGGCACATGATCTGGAGGCTTCTTGCTCTTCTGATGTGGGAGATGATTCTGCTGGCTTGATGCTCGTCGCTGATTCTCTTCCTGAAATATTCCTCCTTCTGAGGCTCAGTGAATCCCTGAATCTCTGTCAGACGGTGGATGTATGTGGAGGGGATCTGATGGGCTGCTGCTGGTCTGGCGGTGATCCAGATGAGAGCAGAGGGAAGCAGATCTCCTTTCAGGAGGCTCCACATCAACACAGCCACTGATGAAGATTCAGTCACAGCACAAACTTTCTCCTCATCTGAAAAGTTGAGTGTGATTCTGCTTTCATCCAGACCATCAAAGATGAACACAACTCTACACTGCTCATAAATCTTGGGCTCCAGATCTTCAAGTTCAGGATGAAAGTCCAGCAGAAGTCTGTGAAGACTGTACTGATGATCTCTGATCAAGTTCAGCTCTCGAAATGGAAGCACAAACATGAAATCTACACCCTGATTGGCTTTTCCCTCGGCCCAGTCCAGAATGAACTTCTGCACAGAGACGGTTTTCCCGATTCCAGCGATGCCTTTAGTGAGAACAGTCTTGATCTGGGCTTTCTCCTTCTTGATCTTCTCCTCATGTCCTGCTCCAGCTGAGGCTTTAAAGATGTCATTGCAGTAGACTGGAGTGTGTTGTGAGGGTTTTGTTCTGGCTCTTTTCTCTATCTGTAAAACGTCATGCTCTCTATTCACTCCTTCACTCTCTCCTTCTATGATGTAGAGCTGTGTGTAGATCCTATTCAGGAATTTTTGAGTCTCTCCATGGTTGATTCCCTCAAATAATCTCTCATACTTGTTCTTCATGCTAGTTTTGTGCTGGTTTTTGGCTCTCTGCAGTTCATCATGTTCTGGTTGGAGTGAATCCTGCTGCAGGTCTCTAGTCTGATCATCTCCATCCACACTGCAGGAACAACAACAACACAAAGAATGAATGAGTATGAGTGTAAAGATCCTTTAGTAAAGCCATGTGTGTTTTCTCTAAAACAGCTGAGACACATTACACAGATTTAATCAAGAAGCAAACTATAGTAATGCAGGAACCATTTCAGATCAGCAAGAACCGGCCAGTCTTCAAATGTCTCTTATAGCTCTATTGTGAAGCACTTTACACAACACACACTGATCACGTCTAATGCTTAAAATGCTTTAAATATGTAACAGTGTTTGTCATTTATTAAATTCAGGATCAGGATTTCAGTAACAACACTGTAACATTGCTCCACTTTATTAAGATAATAAACAGAGAAGATTTAAACAGTTTCATTTTAAACAAGTATCCTTTCCAATTCACTTTACTAACTCTTAACATTTTGAGTTTCAATACTTTAGTTACTTACTACTACTTCAGTACTTCACTAATGATCAAATGTGAGTGTTACGGTTGCCATATATTTGTAGTATTTTTGCCTTCTGTTTTCTCTCTTTGTTTTGTCTCTCTCTCTCTCGCTTTCTCCCAGCCTGTCATTTCCTTTAGGTCTGCCTTTGCGAGAGCTGATTGGTGAGGAGATCAGTCGATCATCATTGGGCGCAAGGCGTGGTCATATAAAAGGATGCCAGGAAAAGCAGAGGAAAACATTTTTCCTTTGATTTTGTTTTTGATGACATGATTTTGTCTTTTGTTGTTTTTGCTTAACTTTTGTTTCGGTAAAATTATTTTGTATTACTTTTGCTCATGTTGAGCTACTTTGTGATATTTGTACATCTTTATTTCGATTGTTTTTGTTTGTTACTTTCTGGCCAGCTCTTACCTGACAGTATTGAGAGATTTCAAGTTCACTCTTTTCCTCAGAGTAAGGTGGATAGGGAAGATGTCGTACGACTTCCATTTTGCAAACACGTAGACAATCCCATGTTTAAAACACCAGGTAAGAAGTGAGATTTTATATATATGTTAGAGAGGCGGGACTTGACGTACCTGTCTATCATCCTTATGACGCAGCACAAAGCAGAGCTATGCAGAGAAGCGCCCGCAGCTATGGGGAATGGCCTCATCCTATGTGCCTTTGTGTGTAATTGTGTGCGTCTATAACAAACTGTGAGTACACATTCTGATCTAAAGGACAGTCGTTCTCATTTCAGTAACTAATGATCGAGTGATTTGGCGTTTATACGCTATTAGCGGGACATTCAGAAATGACGGGGTTAAGCTCATCCAGCGCGTTCGGCGCATTCACGTGCTCTCGCACGAGTTTATGATCATAAGATCGCTAGTTATATGTAAATTATGTTCTATACATGCTTGTTTATGTTATCATGCTATTACAATGGGATTTACTTATGACAAGTGTTTTAAGAAGTCATTTTCTGGGCTTATTGCCAGTTTTGAGTACTTTCGGTTTTGACATGCTGATTGTACTGCATAGCGAAAGTGAAACCATTACATCACGTTTACTGCTCGGCTCGATGAAGCGTTGTACTTGATGCATATATTATAATATTGTACTGTGATTATATATGGTGAATGTTATTTGTGATCTAGATGTCTAATTATGTTATACTGATTATTTTATTAGTTCTATTTCATTGTAGAACCACACACACGCCTATACACACACCTCTTCAGTGTTCAATAAACCAGTTTGATTGACCTTAACTGCCTGATCCACTCCTGTGTTCTGATCGACACCCCAAGGGCAAGGCTAGAGAAATTAGAACCTCCTCAGAATACAATCCTAACCTAACAACCCAACAAATTGGTCCTTCGAGCCGGAGCTCAGCCATTGCCCCCTGGATAAAGAGGATCAACGGTGGTAATATGCAGTTTGAAGGGGTGAATGCAGATGGCGCCAGAGGAGCCAGACCTAAGCGTCATGTTTATCCACCTGCCAATTTAGAGGACTATGACTTCACACCCTTACGTCATAAACAGGTCAGTCAGTCAGTAATGCCGTATTCTACAGAACAATTATGGAGATATGGTCCATCAAATGCTGCACAAATTTCCCCTGCCCCGTCTGACCGTGCCAGCAGTCCTGTGAGTCAGTATTCATTACATGTGGTGGATGAGTGGCCACCCACTGCTGTTAATAAAGAGTATTCCTATGACAGACAACGGATGGGAGCACCTTTACAGTCTGGAGTTAATATACCTACTGTTCCGTCTGCTGTATCTTCACCATTTCACAGGCCCTGGGAAGAAACAGAGTATCAGTTATCACCACAAACATGCTTAAGCCCCTAACATAGGCCTGCTCAGACTAAGCACCACTTGGAGTCTCTTCCAATGCCATCTTCCCATGCACTAAATACCAGTCAGTCATTTCAGTTGCATAATACTGTCGCTGCTCCATTAAGTTCAGATCTGATTTTTCATAGAGAAGGTGATAACTCAGTACTTACCTGAAGGCAGGCTGTGGAGCAAAGAGGTCATTCTGCTATGCCTAGCCACCCAGTGAAAGAGCCACAGACTGAACATGTACTCGTAGATTTTCTGGGTAAGATGCTTAACCAGCTTCACTTGATGAGGGACGAAATACAGACCGGAATGGCAGCTAAACGAGGCGTCCCAGAGTCATTTAAGACTCCTGCTCACCATGATACTTCTTCTGCTCACTATCAAGTTGAATCTGTCCATAGAAATTCATGCCAATTGGCTCCTCCCCCCACGGATTCCAGAGCCCCCACTCATGAGCACAACTGGCATTCTGAGCGAACATTCAAACCTCATAACGTTGCTGATATGCCTCAACCTTACCACAGTAATGAGCCAAGAAGACCTAAAAACCAGACATCTTTGTTCAGAGCATCCACTCTGCATCCTGATGAGAGGGAAAGCACTTATCGTGGTCCCACCCCAAACATTCCAGACTTCGTTACAGGGGATCCTAGTGAGTTCACCAGACTAAAGATTGCTCTTGAGAACCTGTTAACGCCTGATACTACTGAACTGTTCCGTTATCAGATATTGCTGGATCATCTAAGATTAGATGAAGCCCGCCTGGTAGCTGACTCCTACCTTAACTCACCGTTCCCTTATAGTGACACAATGGCAGCATTGACTGAGAGGTTTGGGCAACCTTACAAGTTAGCCCTACGTCGGATAGCTAGAGTGATGGATGCGCCTGACATTCGACGAGGCGATACCGCAGCCTTTGATAAGTTTGCCTTACAAATTAGATCCCTTGTTGGTATGTTGGAGACTTTAGGCCATGATGGTCAGGCTGAATTGAGATGTGGGTCACATGTGGAAAGACTGTTATGCAAACTACCTCCTGAAATGACATCTGAGTTCAGGAGACACATGTTTCGTCGACCTGGTGCAGTGTATAACCTCCTGGATTTCTCAGAATGGCTGCAATATGAGGCCTGGTGTCAGAGCACTGAGAATTATGTTGTAGAACGCAGGCGCAGGGTGGAGCAGAGGACTGAGAAAGGAAGAGTAATAAACCTTCCTGGGCGGTCAGCTACAATACTCCATGGAGCCGAGGAGGGCCCTCCTAAACTACCTAATGTACCCAGCATAGTCCCCCCAGCCAGCTCAGGTATCCTCCAAACACAAATCAAAGCTTTCTGCCCATACTGTGACAAAACAGACCATTACCTCAGTCAATGCCCTACATTCAAGTCCTTTAACAAACAGCAGATCGCAGAATGGATTCAAACAAATCACCGCTGCTGGCGCTGTGGGAGGACACACCAGGCAGCAAAGTGCACCCTAAAAAAGCCATGCAGTATTTGTAAAGGTAGGCACCTACAGATCCTTCATGAAGTTAACTTCAAACCAGCGACTGAAGGATCGTGTTTGGTTAATTCAGCAACAGAGACTCTGTATCTGGATAAACCTACAGGATGTAGGAAGGTTCTCCTTAAGGTAGTCAGAGTTTTGCTTCGCCACAAAGACCAAACACTAGATACCTACGCTGTCCTTGATGATGGATCGGAGAGGACAATTCTCCTATCCCCTGCTGCCACAAAACTTGGTATCCATGGTCCGGTGGAAAGCTTAGCCCTATGCACTATTCGTCAGGACGTGCAAGCTGTCACTGGTGCTGCAGTCTCTTTCCAGATTTCTCCAGTTACCCAGCCACAGAAAGTATACAGAATCTCAGCTGCTTTTACTGCTGAACGTCTAGGACTAGCAGACCATTCGTACCCTTTGAGCATCCTGGAGAAGTATCAGCATCTAAAGAACGTTCCCCTGCAGCCCTTTGAGGGAGCACACCCATTGCTGTTATTTGGAGCAGACAATACTCACCTCATCACTCCCATATCACCTGTCCGCCTGGGCCCCTCTGGTGGACCAGCAGCAATACAGACCAGGCTGGGATGGACGTTACAGGGACCCATAAGACACTTAAAAGACCAGTTGTCATCACAACAGTGCCTCTTCTTGTCCCTGACCCCTGCTGAGCGACAGGTGAGGAAGGATGTTGAAAGGCTCTGGCAGATTGATGTTATGCCTTATCGTTGTGAGAAGCAGGTAACACGTTCAAAAGAAGATCGAGAGGCTATTCATCTCTTGGAGACTAAGACTACTCGGGTTGAGGTTAATGGCATTCTCCGCTATGCAACACCTCTATTGCGCAGAAAAGATTTCCCTCTCTTTTCTGCCCCCCAAGATGCTGTGATGCCTAATCTCAGGGGAATAGAGCGGCGGCTTACTCGGTCTCCAGAAAGAGCAGAGGTTTATAAGTCAGAGATAAAGAAGTTGGAGCTGGCTGGGGCTGCCATCAAGCTGCAGAATGAGGAGAAGGAAAGCACTAGAGAAAAAATGGTATATCACCCCTCACATGATCACTCACAATGAGAAAAATCGCCTTGTATTCAACTGTTCCTTCGAATATGAGGGACTGAACCTAAATGACTCCTTGCTTCCTGGTCCAGTCTTAAGTCCCTCCCTCCTGGGTGTCCTCTTGCGATTTAGAGAACATTGTGTAGCCATCAGCGGGGATATACGTGGCATGTTTCATCAGGTCCTGCTACTGCCTGAGGACAGGCCACTCCTGCGCTTCTTGTGGCGTGACCTGCGATGAGAGGAACCGCCAGACACATATGAGTGGCAAGTTCTTCCTTTCGGGACGACATGTAGCCCCTGCTATGACCTTCGCCCTACAGCAACATGTGGCATTGCACAGTACCCCTGATGAGGATGTAAGATTCTCAGTAAACAAGTGTTTCTACGTAGACAACTGTCTACAAAGCCTACCCTCTGCACAGGAAGCACGACAGTTAGTGGACAAGTTACAGGCTCTCCTAACCTCCGGTGGTTTAGACATCCGACAGTGGGCAAGTAATAAAGGGGAAGTTATCAGTCACCTACCCCCTGAGGCCAGGTCCACTAAGCTGGAGTTATGGCTTTCTCAAGACAAAGCTGAACCACGCGAGTCAACATTAGGCCTGAGTTGGCACTGTAAATCAGACAATCTGGGCTTTAAACACCGACCTATCACATACAATGCCCTGACAATGCGTAACATTTACTGGGTGCTGGCGAGTCAGTACGACCCCCTTGGAGTTATCCTTCCATATACTACTAGGGCTAAGGTGATAGTGCAGCAGCTCTGGGTCAAGCACAGGGACTAGGATGATCCTCAACTTCCTGGTGAACTTCAACAGGAATGAATGAAATCGGAAGAAGAACTAAAATATCTACCTGAGGTGACACTACCTAGATGCTATTACCCCTACTACATGGATCACTCAGATGTGCGACGAGAAATTCATATCTTTAGTGACGCTTCTGAGAAGGCATATGGAGCTGTTGCTTACCTGCTCACAGAAGATCATCAGGGAGAACTTCATCTAGCCTTCCTTCTAGCCCGATCACGAGTAGCTCCACGAAAGCAGCAGTCCATCCTGAGGCTTGAGCTTTGTGCTGCTTTGATAGGTGCACAGTTAGCAAAGTTGCTTGTAAATGAGCTCACTGTGAAGTTGGACAAATTTACTTACTGGACTGATTCCACTATTGTCCTCCACTGGCTATGTTCAGAATCCTGTAGGTACAAGGTCTTTGTGGGTACCAGGGTGGCGGAGATTCAGGAGTTGACGGACTGTGCAGAATGGAGATATGTCAATTCGGAAGAAAATCCTGCCGACGACCTGACTCGAGGCAAGAACCTGCAAGACCTTATTGGACCCAACAGATGGCATAATGGTCCAAAGTTTTTAATGCAGCCTCAAGAAAAGTGGCCTTCTCACCCCAACTCCCAATTTTCGGATGCTGTGGATGAAACTGAACTTAAGAGAGGAACATTTTGTGGAATTACTATTACTACCCCAACGACTTTAGATGGAAAGCAATGCAGAAGCTGGAATGAGCTGGTGGAGGCAATTGCACAGGAGTTGCACGGGACGGCTGCCCTTGATAATTCCCTCACAGCTGATGCTTACAAAGATGCAGAGACTGTGGCTTTGAGAGGGATACAGATGGACTGTTTTCCTGAGGATTTTTAGCTGCTATAAGCTAATAAACCAGTTCGCTCTAACAGTCGGCTATTATGTCTTTCCCCAGAGTTTGACTCAGAAACCCAACTTATACGAGTGGGAGGACGTCTGAGACGAGTAGAAGTCCTTGACCCAGCCACTATTCCTCCCATAGTACTTGACCCTCATCATCCATACACCCAACTGTTTATCAAAGACTATGATGCTCGACTCCTTCACCCGGGACGAGAGCGAGTGTTTGCTGAACTCCGCAGAAGAGTGTGGATTCTGAGGGGTAGGGAGGCAGTCAAGAAGTACCAAAGGACATGCCTTGATTGTTGTAAATGGAGGTCAAAGCCAGCTACACAGCAGATAGTCGATCTACCCCCGCCAAGACTCGGATTGTTTAAGCCAGCATTCTATTCAGAAGGCATGGATTGTTTTGGCCCATTGATGGTGACATTAGGTCGAAGGACAGAAAAAAGGTGGGGCCTCCTGTTCAAGTGTCTCACCACCCGTGCTGTGCACATAGAAGTGCTAACCTCTATGACCAGTGATGCCTTTCTAATGGCATTGAGAAGGTTCATTGGCCGACGTGGCCAGCCTGCAGAACTATACTCTGACCAAGGCACAAACTTTCGAGGTGGCGAAACAGAACTCAGAGAAACCTTCAGCACCCTAAGTTCAGACCTACAGCATTTGTTAGCCAAACAGAGGATCAATTTCCACTTCAATCCTCCTGCGTCTCCCCACTTTGGTGGTGTATGGAAGAGGGAGATTTGTTCAATAAAAATGGCTCTCCGCACAGCTCTGGGCTCAGAGACTGTGTCCGAAGAAGTTCTCCAGACTGTTTTGATTGAAGTAGAAGCCATCTTGAATTCTAAACCTTTAGGTTATGTTTCAGCAGATCTGGCTGACCTGGACCCAGTCACTCCCAATTGACTGCTGATGGGGCGGCCAGATGGTTCCTTACCCCAAGTAGTATATCCTGAGTCTGATCTCCTTACTAAACGGAGATGGAGGCATTCCCAGATATTGGCTGACAGATTCTGGACTGCTTTCATAAGACATTACTTACCAGCTTTGCAGACAAGAGGACAGTGGCAAAGATCAACACCTGACATTGAGCCTGGCACAGTAGCTATGCTAGTTGACCCCCAGCTGCCACGAGCCCTATGGCAAATTGGAAAAGTAACTAGAGTATTTCCAGGAGCAGATGGACATGTCAGAACAGCAGAGATCCAGATAAAAAACAGGACATATACACGGCCAATATCTTGTCTGATTGTACTTCCGGAAATCCCTGAAGAAGAGGATCATATGGGGAGTAAAGAAACACAACAACCAAGTTGAGGCAAATTTAACAGAGCAAATTTACAAATAAATTTGGGGGCGGCAATGTTAGAGAGGCGGGACTTGACGTACCTGTCTATCATCCTCATGACGCAGCACAAAGCAGAGCTATGCAGAGAAGCGCCCGCAGCTATGGGGAATGGCCTCATCCTATGTGCCTTTGTGTGTAATTGTGTGCGTCTATAACAAACTGTGAGTACACATTCTGATCTAAAGGACAGTCGTTCTCATTTCAGTAACTAATGATCGAGTGATTTGGCGTTTATACGCTATTAGCGGGACATTCAGAAATGACGGGGTTAAGTTCATCCGGCGCGTTCGGCGCATTCACGTGCTCTCGCACGAGTTTATGATCATAAGATCGCTAATTATATGTAAATTATGTTCTATACATGCTTGTTTATGTTATCATGCTATTACAATGGGATTTACTCATGACAAGTGTTTTAAGAAGTCATTTTCTGGGCTTATTGCCAGTTTTGAGTACTTTCGGTTTTGACATGCTGATTGTACTGCATAGCGAAAGTGAAACCATTACATCACGTTTACTGCTCGGCTCGATGAAGCGTTGTACTTGATGCATATATTATAATATTGTACTGTGATTATATATGGTGAATGTTATTTGTGATCTAGATGTCTAATTATGTTATACTGACTATTTTATTATTTCTATTTCATTGTAGAACCACACACACGCCTATACACACACCTCTTCAGTGTTCAATAAACCAGTTTGATTGACCTTAACTGCCTGATCCACTCCTGTGTTCTGATCGACACCCCAAGGGCAAGGCTAGAGAAATTAGAACCTCCTCAGAATACAATCCTAACCTAACAACCCAACAATATATATATATATATATATATATATATATATATATATATATATATTCTGACAGATTAATAGAGAGTAAATATAATATCTTGTAAAAAATAATCATATGAAATGTAGTGTCTAGACGAAATACCTGCATGATGTAAACAAATCCAGATCTCCAGAAGTGTGCGTGTCCTCCATGATGGATCTGAAAAGTTTGATCTCCAGCAGAAACTCTAGAAGAAACTGATGAACAATCACAGATCTCCAGTCATTGATCAGCCTTCAAAATTCAGCTGAATGCAGGAATAGATCAGCAGGAAACACATCACAAGTAAACAATCAATAGAATCACAGCCATCATCCGTTTGATTAGGAATAAAATATAATCATACATACAGATTCACATAAACCTTATGCCAAGTTCAGACTGTATGATTTTAGCCCCGATTCTGACTCGCAGACAAATGCCTAAAATCACAGGCAAATCAGTGCTTGTGCACGCAAGTAATGCCTAGTTCAGACTAGGCTTGGGCGGTATCCAAATTTTGATACCGTCAAACCGCCTCCATATTTTACCCCGGTATCCGGTATTACCGGCGTAATAAAAAAAATTATGACGTAAGGCTCAGACAGCGTCACCAAACTGTTGGCTTGAGCCTAAGGGTGCTTTCACACCTACACTTTTGTTTCGGAACGTATCTCATTTGCCCAGTTAGCGCGGTTCGATTGGCATATGTGAACAGGGCAATCGCGCTCTGTTCCGCGCCAAAGTAATCGCTCTGAGATCGCTTGAATGAGGTGGTCTCGGCTCGATTGAAACGAACCCTGGAGCGGTTCGATTGCAGTGAGAAAGCGATCCGATCCGAGCGCGGTTATATCACAGTGTTTTATGGATATGTAATAGGCTTACGGCTATATGAAGAGAGAATTATGAGTAGGGCGGGAAGTTTCGCGAGTCTCCGGATGCCCGCAAACGAGTGATGATCTCCCGGTAATCTCGCGTCTCTCTCCCAGTCCTCAAATAGGCATCGTCGCGCACCCTTCTCACCCCTCCCCACCGTGTCTCTCCCCAGACACGTCACGCGCGCGCACCCTGTCAATCACCACCTCTCCTGACAGCTGAGCGGGACGCTGCAAAATAAACCCTGACACTCTGACCAATGTGAAGAGAGTTTACGTGACTTGTTTTAGCTCTTTTGGTCCGATTAGAAACTTTGCAGTGTGAAAGCGAACCGCTCCAAGAGCAAAGAGCAACAATGTAACAATTTTAATCTCTGTTTCGGAACAACTGAATCGATTCAAAGGTGTGAAAGCACCCTAAAACATTCAGAAACTGAATACCTTCTATGCGACCTTAGGCTTGCGGTCAGAGAGGAGAGAGAGAGAGAGGGAGAGGGAGAGAGAGAGAGAGAGAGGGGGGGGGGAGAGCCGCACAGCACCTCTCTCTCTCTCTCTTACACAAACATACACACATCTCTCCCGCGATTTTTCAGAAATGTACTCCCACACCGTAAGAAATCTGGCCGGCTCCGTCGTTACTGCAGCGGGAATGCAGAGAGCTGCAATCGGGCCATAAAAATTATACCCGATAGGTCCCGAGTCCGACAGGTACATTTTGATTGACAGCTTTATAAAGCCCGAACCCGTTTACAGCCCGACATTATTCAAATGTGCTCATGGACACAGCTCTATTGCATTTTTTCAAGAATAAGTCATTGATATGTTTTAACATCATTTATTCGTAACAAACATAGACTATAGGCCACTTGAAAGTTGGAACAAAGAAATAAAATAAGTCCTCTGTAACATCGTAACATCTCAGCACTCTATATAGGTCTAGGTACATACCCTTAGCCATTAAATTGGCCAACACACCAATGAAAAGAAATCTTGCTTAACAAATCAAATTAAAATAAACTCTAAATGATGACGGGTATTTTGGCAATAACAAAATTAAGATAAAGGCTGTGCTGTGCAAGATGTGTTACGCCTCTTCTCTTCACAATCTGGCATTAGGGCGGCCGTGAAGCTGAATATTCAGCCTGATCTCACGAGAAAACGTAAGTATTTTACGTTTTGCCAGTTTAGTGGCTAATTCGTACGAATTCGTACGAGTTCAGTCGTACGAAATGGTACAATTTTAAAAAGGAGGCGTGGCACCTAACCCCACCTCTAACCCCAACCGTCATTGGGGGATAAGCAAATCGTACTAAATTGTACTAATTAGATCGTACGAATTCATACGAATTAGCCAAAAAGTTACGAATTGCTGTGAGATTGTGTTGGAATATTAAAAGAATAATGCCACCATTAGCCTGTATACTCTGTCTACATTATGGTTATATGGTTTAATTAATATTTATTTATAATTGAAAAACCCTTTACTCACCAAGATTAGGCTACGTGTGTTTGTGGAGGAACATTATTAAATCCACTGGCTTTAGCGCAGTCCTGAGCTCACGGGGTCCAGCAGAACTGAACATCCTTTCCTGCGGCTATAGGCCGAGATGCAGAGTTCTGATCTGGCTGATTTTTCAAGTTTTGGGTAGGATTGTTTGTTAATTTTCTACCAGTCAGGAACATCCATTTAATTTTCCATGACAGCAGTTTCAGTGTAGCGAATTGCCTCATCATTTTACCTGTCAGCTTGCGGTTTAGGGCTCTACCGTAATACGCAGTGTATGAGCGACCGCGAAACACCTGCGGCTGGAATAACCGTTCCTTCTGAGCTAGTGACTGACTTGACCGCCGTAATAATTCGCTTTTTTACTACTTATTCATCATTTGTTTCACCTTTGCAGGGATGGATTTTAATGCAGGGATTTGGATTTTTTCGGGTCTCGCCGGGTTCGGGCAAAGATCTTCAGCTCTAATGCAGACCTCTAGTTCATATTAACCACGTCTCCCTTCTGTTCAGTCGAAACTGCCAAACAGCAGGACACTTTGGAGCGCAACTTGTCACGTCACCTCTCCCTGTCCCTCTCCCCCTTCCCTCTCACCCTCCCTTTCACCCTCCCTCTTCCCTCTCACCCTCCCTTTCACCCTCCCTCTTCCTCTCTCTCTCTCTCCTCCACACTGTCCCGTGATGACAACCACACATACGTTTTTGTAGGCATTAAATAAAGGATATTTAATATTTTATGACGGTATAACGGTATTGAAACTCACACCGTTGCTATTTTTAGATCCCGCGGTATACCATAATACCGCAAAACCGCCCAAGCCTAGTTCAGACTGCGTGATTTTAGCCCGGATTTTGGCTCGCCGACAAGTTTTGAGAAATCGCCGACAAATGCCTGAAATCACAGGCAAATCACTGCTCGTGCACGTGAGTGACAAGACAATCACACAGTATGAACTTTCAAAGACGCGATCTAAGACGCGATTCAAATCATGCCATGTGAATTGAGTTTTGACTGAAAATAACATCAGCGATCACCTACAGCCAACGAGAGAGCAGCATTCACTTGTGTGTGTGTGTATACCTGCTGCAGGCCAGCGGGAGGCTGGGGAGAAGTTAAAAGCGCTCTTTTTCGGTTTATTTGGACCCACGAAATGGAGGAAAAACTAATGGAGGTTTGACCGGACTCAGGAGCAACCGTGTCTGTTTGACGTTTCATACAGAAAGAAAGTAGTTTATCATCAACGTTGAGGAGAAATGGCTAATTCCCTTTAAACCCAGGTGAGCAAACATGGACATGTTCTACCCCATTAAAGGCTTCTTTCTCATTATGTAGTTAATAACAAAAGATATACTACATGTTTTTGGCTGTGAGACGTATTTTGGATGGAGTTGTTGGTGATTCTTCCAATAGTAAAATCTTGCAACGTGAAAGCCCCTGTCGCTGATCCATCTTGCAGTGTAAACAAAGCAGCGACGAAACGCTAGCCCAGATAGTCATGCAGTGTGAAAACATCTGTGACATGACTACTTTGAAAATCATGCAGTCTGAACTCGGCATAACAATCACACAATGTGAACTATCAAAGACGCCATCTGAGAGAATCGCTAATGAATCACAGACACCTGTGAGATATTTGGCATGCTGAATATTTGGAGCTGTCATGCCAGGTGAAATGAGTTTTAACTGAAAATTACATCAGAGAGAAGTTAAATGCGCTCATTTTCAGTTTATTTGGACCCAAGAAATGGAGGAAAAACTAATGTAAATTTGGCAGGAGCACCTGTGTCTGTTTGACGTGTCATGTGAGCAATATTACAATCGGGTCAAAAAAAAAAAATTGAGGATAAATTGCTAATTCCCCTCAAATCCAGGTGAACAAATATGTAGATTTTCTACTCTATTATGCTTTTACTTCTTATGTAGTTAATAAACAAATATATACTACGTGTTTTTGGTTGTTTCGTTTAAAACAAAGTTGTCTGTGATACAGTGTGAAAGCCCCTGTCCATCTGGCAGTGTAAACAAAGCAGCAACAAAGCCCAGACTGTCATGCAGTGTGAAAACAATAGAGGTAAAGTTGGTTTTATATTTGCACATTCGGACTTTGCCCTTAATAATATAATTTCATGAAATAATTATTTGGAAACTCTAAATAGCGAAATCTTATTAGCAGCCAATGACTATCAAAGTACAACATTGCTCACAGTCAAATAATCAGTGTAATGTTGTTTTCAAGTCATACTTGCATGCTAAATCCGATCGAATATTCAAAGTAACATGGTAAACAATATAGAGACGTCTAAATAAACAAATTTGCGAATATAAAACTAACTTTACCAAAACATCGGTGACACGACTACTTTGAAAATCATGCAGTGAACTCAGCAATACAGGTTCTGTCAGGACATTAAAGATATAAAGCTATTGTAGGTAAACTATGGATTCTGTCTGTTTAAAACTGTGACAACAAGCTTTTTCACTTTCGTTTCTGAAGGGTTATGTTGTGCCGAAAATTGTGACCAGGGGGCGCTGTTCCGTGAAATACTCTCTCGGGAACGCCCAGGTCGCTCATGCACGCGATCGTTAACGCACACTCGCGCAGACATTACAAGTGATCAGCGTCGAGCAGTGCTGTAAAGCATGTTAAAATGCTAGATTCAGCAAACATGTTCATATTGAAAAACATATGAAATATATTGGAGAACTTTGATTTACTGAACTATGACTCCTGATCACAGATTTCATCTCTTTCATTTCATCTTTCAATCAGTCTACGGTCAGTTCAGTAAAAACATCCGTCACAAACACTCTGAACAGAGTAGATAAGGACATGCGGGATTTACATTCAATCAAATGACATGCAGAGGGTTACATGCGTGACTTTACCTAAAGCAGTATTAACGCTGGATGTGG